AAGAGGAACAGCTGGACCACAGCTGGAGAATAACTCCTAAAACCTAATTCACTAGCCTTCTTCTGAACAACCCAACCAAAGCTCTTTGTTGGCCTGTTGTCATGTTCCCAGCATGGCTCAATTGCACTTATTGTTGGATGGTTGTTATGTCCTTGTAAACTGACCCAATATGTCATCATGATCTGGATTCTTCTCAACTCCAACGGCATTTCCCCCATTTCTACCTGCAATGCCAGCACAGATGTTGTTTTAAAGACCCCACTACATATTCTTGACACTTGTATTACATCCAGTTTTCCCAACAAGGTTTGAGACACCGACCTATATTCCACACAGCCATAGTCTAGAACTGATCTTGGCTAAGTGGAGCGCAGGGCCGTCCTTCAATCAGAGGAGCGGCGGTTCGATCCCTGGCTCCGCTAGGAGCATGTCGATGTGTCCTTGAGCAAGACACTTAACCCTAAAATTGCTGGTCTTTAAGTTTGGATGTCTTTTTATATATTTAACTATGTTATTATTATAATTGAAGATATAAGATTTGGCATATTTTAGTTCTTGGATGTCATATTTATTTAAACATTTATATAAATAAATAAATGTGAAGATAGCGTAATTTCTAAATCATACAACTGTAAATTTAAGAAATTTAAAAACTGAACCAACTGTCCAAACATCACAGCTACATAAACAGGTTACACACGGAGGAAAAGCAACGCTGCAAGTTTCCATCAGTGACAATTGTGCTTTTCTTTTAATATGTTTTGTGATGCTTCACAATCATTAATCGATGGACACATTCCAGTGCTCTGACTGAAAACATGTTGACATCAAGTAGGATGTAGGCTCTCTCAATAAATATCTTTATTTACAGATGCTAAATAAATAACCTTATATATTATTATTGTTATTGCACAAAATGAGACCAATAGCCAACAATCTAGCATTAAGTATTACAATTAGACAGAAAATTAGGATTTAAATTTGTTTATACTATATTTATCCTGTTAATTAAGGATAATTTTGTCTCTGCATTTGACCCATCCCTATATATGGGGATGTCTTTGACAGGTGACACATGACACGTCAAAGGCCAAGGCTCGAACAGCCAACCTTGTGCTCACCAGCCAACCCTCTTAACCCAGTGAGCCACGGTCGCCCACCTTTTCTGCTAAAGAAAATCTAAGAGCCAATCAGCTCTTTGATCCGAAGACAGCAAGAATTTTCCCATCATGCCCTGGGGTCATGCAGTCGGTGGAGAGCAATTCTGCATAGCCTGGCTCTAAAATCTGCGGCCGCCTCCCTCACGTGAGATCATCGTTACGCACGTTTTCATGATGTCAGAGCAAGTCGGACGCAAATCTACCCAGCATGAAGTGTGCGCCGATCGCCGGTGATCGATTCTGCGCACGCCTGGCTTAAGTCGAACGAGCCTTCTGACACATCGAAGGCGGGCTCATTGACTGAAATCGACCAATGGTAGGCTGAGCTAGAGCCCCATACACACACAGCAACTGGAATTCAGACGAGAAAATCCCATGGATGAGAGCCAGAAACAGGCTCTGAGAGGACCCTGGCTCTCAAAATGATGCCAAACGGCTGTATTGGGATGTATTGAATAATATGAGTGATACAAAAAGTGAAATATATAGTTATATAGTATATAAAAGTACAATGTAAGAGCTGCAACAGCTGGTTCTAAAATGACGACCTCGCGTGACCTCTCTGTACTAAAAGCCTCTTATTCTTCACTTTATCCCAGTCAAACTTTATTCTATGACTACTCATCGGTTGTGCTATGATTTGGGAGAGTTTTTAGGCTGTCAGCTGCATTATTTCAAAAACATAATATCAATAAGTGCTTTTTTTTCAGGCGAACCTGAATATTTTCAATTTGAGCTGTGTAATATCTTCATGTACTATATTAACCAGCAACATATACACAATATTTACCCATCTGAACAATCTCACAAGTGTTATCTGAATTATTAAAATAGACCTTGTAGTTACAGAATTGAAGTCTCTTTAGTCATTTTCGAGCAGAGGCCTAAAAATAGGGCTAGTGTTTAATAGGTTAAATGTGCGGCGTTTTAGCACCGCAGTGTTGCTGCAATGTTTTGTCATACTTTGTTGTCATATAAATAAATGTGACTGGTTCTTGTGAGTTTGTTCTTGTCATTGTGTTAATTACATTGATTTTGACTATATGCATTGTCCGTTAATGACGAAGCATCCCGTCATGTGCGTATTCATGTATCTGCACTCTGCAGTTAGTGTATTTGTAGGTGTTGTAACATTTTATTTCACTTGTCAAATGTTGCAGTGTTATGTGAATATTAGTGGTGTAACGGGTTCGGATCACTCCTGTTGGAATCTGACTATATGGCTTCGACATGTGTTGTGGAACAAAGAGAGAGTCAGGCCTTCCCTTTTGCAGGCAAAGGTTTCATCCTGATTGTAGTTTGATGAGCACCAAACCCCCCAACTCTGAAGAAATTGACATTAGGGTGTGAGTTTCCTCCCCCCAAAAACTATGTGTTCCTGAAGTTACCTGAAAGCAGCGCTGCAATCTAATTGGCCGAGAGCCAAGACACCCCAGGACCCCTGTGGTTCAGCCACCTTTCTATAAAACAACCAGCAACCCCCACCTCAAAGCTTTTTCCATCGATCCCTCCGGGGTAGCAGGAGGCACACACTGCAACGTTGTTCCCCTTTCTTTTTAACCAAAACCTAGGTTTAACAGTTTATATTCACCAAACTGTCTATTTTATCTTCGTTCGTATCCACGAAGCGAACCCTTCTATTCCTGCAGAAGTGAAGAAGCAAGACTTCTTCAGAAAGAAAGAGAGAGAGAAGTTCCACTCTCCACTCTCCACCAAGCGCCTCGCTCGCTCCGGTCATAAGGACGCGAACGTCCCTTATCCAGACGAAGCGATTCTCTCCCACCGAGAGAACACCTCCCGCGGCCAGCAGCCGCGCTGCCTGAGCCCGCCGAAGCTCAGAAGAACCCCCCTCAATCACCACGATTGCATCGTACCGTAAGGCGAAATAGATTCTGGGCAGAGTTAGAGATTTATTATTACTTTTGTCAGTTTCAAGTTATTTCAGTGACCATTGTGGGTTTTTCTTTCTTCGACGGAAGGATACCAACAATTTTGTCCACGTGTGTATATGACTGGCTGATAAGAGTATTTAGGTGTGGAGTATGTCAATAGTGAAGAAAAGGGAAAGATGATATCCAAAATTATTAATAGCTATTTACAGACTGTGTGAGCTAAAAGGCAAAAGAAGCCTAATTCACCAAATGTCGGAGAGGCAAACTCATTAAACTTTGCAATAATTAAGATCAGTGAATATGGTGGAATAGTAGCATGAGAATATGCCAGAGGAACCAAATTTTGGCTTTTACTGCATCATTTTCTCCAGTGCATGCCCCCGGACCCTTAGTTTTTCCCACAGGCTGTCTATTCCATATCATTGTGGTAGGCCACCTGAGTACTGTGAACAACCTTCCTGTATTTGTTGGGAAATTGCTGTAAATAAAACCACAAAACAGTGCACATCATATCTTAAAGACTAAAAAAACACTAGTCATTGGTGACCAACCAAGATCTCTTACTGCCCTCCCACCCCTTTTCCTTGAGAATCACTTCATATTTTTAAAATGTGCTATAAAATAAACTTGCTATTGCTAAAATGTAAATACCAATTACTTCAGTTATTGTTTCATCCCATTCTGCTTTTGGGTCTAAAGGCTCTTGCCGCGGGCCGTCAGAGTGATAACTGCATATTTGTGTTATGCACACAACTGCCCTGTAACATGAGTATTAATGTGTTATCTCATTAGAAAGCTACGGTTCTTGTAATTCGATTTCTGCAAACCATTTCAAGATACAATAACAACAGCAGGTACAGTTAACGTCTCTGTCAAACAAGCACTCCAAAAATAGCCGATAAAATATCGCCATGACTCACCGATTATGATCCATAACGTCCCCCTCGTGCATGCTAGTCCAGCAAAAACGGTCTTGCTAGGTGGCTAAGGGTCCACTCAATCGAATCCAGTAAAAGATTTAGTCCAAAACACATTAGTACGTCCATAAAGACCCATGGGGGGCTGTTGCATCATTTCAAATTAGCCAGCAGATATGATAACTCGCGATCATATTTCGGGCATAACTTCACGTTCCGTGTCAACAGAGCGATGGTTTTCATCACAAAATGGAGCCTATATTCCGCCGGTTAGATTGACACCTCATTTGACCCAATAGGAGCTTCTATAGCCCGGCCACAGTCTGGAACAGCCAACGAGAGTCCGCTTTGAAAGACAATGCCCGCCTCACTTCTTTGGGTATAGCTCGAGCCAATCGCAACAGATCCTGTTCAAACTCAGGCTCCACATAGCCAATGAAATTACGAAGCCAGGGATATGCAGATTTATCAGATTGAATGCTGGGAAAGTTTTCTAACCTGAACTGGAAACCATGAGTCAAGTTCTTGGGACAGAGTCTGAAGACCAAAGTCTGGTTCATGAGAATTTTCAAGACTCTGTGAAAGTTGATAATGGTTAAATATGATATAGTTAACCATACATCGACATAAATAAACTATAGTTCGAAATTCGAACACGTAGCTTATCGTACTATATGCATTTTGACGTGGTGAAGCTAGCCTCCAAATGCGTTTTTACGCGGCCGCGCTCTTAGTAAACCACGTGTAAAATATTAATTTTTAGTAGTATTGTTATCAAATTTTAACTTACACTAGGCGTCATGACTGTTGGCTGTCGAATGAGAGTCTTTTTAAGACTGTAAGTCCCAGCCATAGATAGCTGCTGCCATCTGTTGGCCAAAACAAATCTAGGCGGAAGTACAATGGTTCTCTTTCACTGTGCTGAAAACGCCATAGCTCAATGCCAATAGCACTTATGGTGATTCTGACTGTTTGTGAAGAAACTTCAGAGTGTTACCTTTCAATAGAGACTAAAACCATACATGTACTCCCAATGGTTCAATAAGAGCTGTCAGTTTACTTTGGGTACGCGGTTGATAGGCGTTTTAGGCAAATTATGCAGGAGTGGGAAGCAGTGGGGATAAGGAGTTGGGCTCCAGTTTGTTTTTTCTTCATCCCAGTGATTGACACATCTGGGTGATGCCGTTTATTCGAATGTGTGTTAGATGCGTTTCCATTCACATACCCTACAATGGTGGAGCAGCGCTGACACTTTTCAACCATAAACTGGCGCATAAATATTCACCAGAACGGGCTGAATTAAAGCAGTGGCAATGCCTCCCGCTATCCCTGCAAGAAAGCAGCCGCGTTGTTACTTCAGTCAAACAGTATAACCAGCTTAGAAAAGCTTGCTGGGTTTAGTCCAATCCGATCACGGCTCATTTGTAAACAGTCTCACAGGCGCGTCCTGCCTCCATTATACAACCACAACTGGTTGTATTCAAGACCCTTTTGACGAGAATTTATCATTGTTATTGGGTTAAAAAGAAATGGACACATCTACCGCAGTTGATCGACCAGTCAACTACTTTTTGGGAGTAGTAGAGGACTACGAAAATGCAGGTGTTGTGAATGACCTTGTAGATCCTCAAGCATTTATAATCCTGTTTGGCTGACCTGAGACGAGCTGCTTCATCAGGGATACCAAGGCAGATCTCTCGGTCGAATCGTCCAGCTCTGCGGAGGGCAGGGTCCAGGGAGTCTGGCCTGTTGGTGGCACCGATGACCATGACCTGAGCCGTCACCGTCAGACTGTTCAAGTCTGTCAGAAGGCAAACACCAGTAAAATATAATTTCACCTGTGGAAGTCACAACTATTTATTTGTTCTTGACAATCGCTTCATCTTTTGTATAATACAGAATATCCAGCAGAGCCAATCAGCATAATTTAGTGGTATCAGATTTGGGTTGAGTGACAGTGAGGCTACGGTGGAAGTTAAATCTTTATGTGTATTGGATAATTCAGGTGACATATCCTCGTATATTTGATGGCATTCTTCTTACATGGCATCTGTTTACACGTGCAGCTCTTTACCAGACAAGTTTAATATGTTGCACTAATTCCAATCTGAACAAAAACAGATGCGTTTTCCTTGTCCGTTTGTTATAAAAGATTCAAACATGAGTGGAAGAATTACAGCGGAAGGGTTCCTGTGATGTATGTCTGAAATGTCATGTTATAACATTTCTTTTTACAATCAACACTTGAAAGGATGAAGGCACTTGCAAATGACAAAGTAGTACAAAATGTAAACCATACTTTGGTGTTTAATCATTACATCTTCAAGGAAGACAGACAACGACATCAACATTTCGTTTATGTTAAATTTATATGAGGGATTAATATCTTTCCCGAAAATTAGACATTTCCTGTCCCGGAAGCAGAAGCACACCATTCCGGGAGTCCCGGGTAATACACTTATCTATGTTAGTCAACATTAGAATGAGCTGTGGTGTCCTATGTTTTGCCAGATTTGGCTGGATACTTGTTCAACCAGTTGACTCTTTTTCTCAGTGTCGATCTGACGGAGCAGAGACTGTGGTGGAAGGGAGGGAGGCAGCGTATGCTTATGAATAATGCATAAACTTGACAGGGAAATCGGAACTAAACATTTAGCTGCTGTCCCTTGTGTGTAAATGGGCACAGCGTCTTTCAGCAGCAGCTTTGCAGGCCTGCTCTGTTCACCTTTCAGAGAATGTACCTAAATTCATATTTTCCTTATTATTTCATCGACCAGCAACCCATCCACTATTTGACAGAATGTTAACTTTTATGACCAGACATAAGCTCAATGCCAGGTGGCAGTTACTCAAAAGCTGAAATATCACCATGTCTAGTCTTTCATGCGAGTCTGCTTGTTACAGTAAGCATGACATTTCCACAAGGTATTTACATGTCACTCTGTATCGTACCGTCCATGCAAGTTAGCAGCTGGGCTACAATCCTCCTCTCCATGTCTTTAGAAGCCACCTCTCTCTTAGGGGTGATGGAATCTATTTCATCTATGAACAGAATACATGGGGCAGAGTTCTGCAAGAAAAAAAAAAATCAAAGTTCAGAGAGGAAGACATGGTATACATATTATCATATCAAAATACCGGTTATACAGTATCAGCAGTACCAAATGAACATCACTTGGGTATATGGTTAGATGTGCTGACCATACCTCCTCTAGTCCGTAGTCTTTTGTTGAGAAATCTAGATTGATATTAAAGAAACCACTACTAACCACAGCCAGGTCAAACAGCTCTCTGAGCTTCTGTTCAGACTCTCCGGACACTCCAGATACCATCTCCGGAGCAGACACCTTCAACATGGGTAGCTGCAGCTCCTGAAACACAAAACCACAAAATAACTTTATTTAACTTCATGTGAACAAGTACACATTACATTACAGTCATTTAGCAGACACTTTTATCCAAAGCAACTTACAATTCAGATTCTATTATATTTCTAAACCGTAGGCACAGCTACGGGAGCAATTTTGGGGTTAAGTGTCTTCCTCAAGGACACATCGACATGCAACTAGCGGAGCCGGAGCTGGGGATTGAACCGTCGATCCTCTGATTGAAGGACAGCCCTGCTCTCCACAGTCGCCTCCAACAACAAAGTCGCAGTTTTAGCAGTTATTTCTTAGGCCAAAACTGTTTCAAGAATATAGCACTCTTTACCTGAACCAAACATCAAAACCAAAATCTGACTTTAAAAGGATTAAGCCTCATGTTCATGTGCAGCATATCTCTCCACTCGTCCTCTAAGGCTCAAGATCATGAGGTTAGCGACTTCATTTGACATGATGCAAACTGTGTAGTACCTTTGCTCTTTATACCTCAGATATACTACAACAATTAAATGCTCAGACAAAATAATAAAATAATTATTCAACTATAGCTAATTTTGTCTAAAAGCTTTTTGGGTGTTATCTATAGCAGAGGTCTTCAACAGGGGGGTTTTCACAAAATGAAATGTCTTTAAATACACATTAACATGAATCCAACATATTGTAGCTAATGGATAAATGGAGGCAGAAGATGTTATCTTTCAGTCAGAAATGTTGCATGTTTCATACATATATACATATACATATATACATATACATATATACATATACATATACATAGACATATACATATATACATACATACATACACATATACATACATATATACATACATATACATATATATACACATACATATACATATATATATACATACATATACATATATATATACATATACATATATATATACATATATATATACATACATATACATACATATATATATATATACATACATATACATATATATATACATACATATATATATACATATACATACATATATATATACATATACATACATATA